TTACCATGAATCCGTCATAATCTTATAAAAGTTATGGCACATACTCCACTAGTTCAATGAATACCCTACACCCTCCTCCCTGTTAGCGTGCGTTGCTCTTGAGATACAACGAGCCACAACTGACAATCCACTATATGTACTCCGACTACCTCCAATATGTAATGTCTCTCAGCTCCATCGAGGCTCCACTAACCTCAAGACTGTGCGCATCCTCATAATGATTTACTCCTTAGAAATCTCACCTCAGTGTGTGTCATTATGCACCACAGATATCCATCCACCCTCATCGTCCTCAGATTCTCACATGCTGTGTACATAACGTACACGTCAAAGCGGATCCCATATCACAAGACACAATCTCGCTCCACCATGCACTTGAACTGCACATCTCACCATAATCTGTCACTCCCTCCCCAAGAAAGAGTTGTACACAAGCTCCACTCCAACTCTCCCCCGTTTGCACACTCACCCGCAAGTCTTGTAGTCCTGACTACACTGCTCCTGTGTACGTCGACTACTATATTGCCTGACGTTGTTTGTAACCCCCCAGCAGTATATCCCTCATTTTTCTAAGTGTCATGACTACGTGAGATTTACTCGTGTGTGTCTAGCCCTCTCACTATCCCTTGTGAACTATCAGCCCCCATCCATACCCTTCTGTTGTGTCCCCCTGTGCCCCACCCCAGGAGTCGTCCTACTACTGCCCCATACAATCTCGCTACTGATGTGTAGATCACTGTTGTGTTAATCTCAGTTCGCAATCATGTCGAACAGACTATATGTCACACACACATATAACAGTCTCGTGAGCATCTCGTTCTCAGGTAGTCAAAGATGCTATGATCCTTTCACTAAGTTAACATACTCCTTTTGTACTCCTATCTGTACCGACGTGATCATTCCTTCTCTCTCTATCATATCACCTGTCCCTTTCTCTATATACTCAAGCCTAAACTCACACTATGTCATCAAACACTACGTAGATGCATAGCCCTGAATAGTGATATAGAAATGTGCTATGTGAGTGTAATGCTCAGAATTATAGCAGTCCCGTATCACATATCGTTCCAGTAGACAATTTCAGTGTCACTGTCACACACGAGTTGATTGTTGATCTGTTGCTCCACGCACGCGCCGCGCAGGCTAGTGACGTCTCCAGAATTGAAGTTATCATGTCACCTCCACTAGACGGTATACTCTCTTGCTCTACACTCCCCGTGTTCACTCCATCTCTGTCTTCCTCTCTAATAGGAACTGAGTGGACTACCGTTACCCTCATCTACATCAGCTCTAGTTGTGACTATCCTTTGCACACTCACCGTGCGTCGCCCCACCTATCGCCACGCTCGGAATTGACTGCTAGACCCTTGTTGTACAACGTTGACTGCGTTATGACTACCTCGCTATCTCTTCTCCGACGCTGTCTTCTCCACACATGACGCGTGCTCTGCATGCGCGAATGCTAGAGCCCACACCAATACACCCACCCCCCACATCAACATATTGTACCAACAAAAATTATGTCGGCTATTCTGTCGGATAGTAGAACGATTGTGAGATACACATGGCTGTGAGATAGAAATTGACACGACCCCTGAGAAGACACTCATGTTAGATCATTGTGCAGGCTTTCACCTCCCACTAAGAAGTATGCATGTTCGTCTTGTACGTAGGTTTGTCGATACCGACGGATAGTGGCTGAGAGTCTATGCCTAGAATATGTAGACCCCTGTCAGTGTGTACGTTTGAGTGTTCATCAGACCAGATCTCGCTGCAGTCATAATGTAAGCTGAAAGAGTCCAGTTATCTGTGCGCTAAAGGAGAAACGCCTAGCCGCCTCTTACAGTTCTAGTGCGACGAATGAATGTGTTCGTTACTGAGCTCGTTCACAGGCCCTCCCGACTACTCGATGTTCCTTGAGAAGAGATGTGTCCTCTCTCCATCGCTCGCGCTAATTCACAATCCAGTTGCAATTCTATGTGTGCACTCTGTACCGACCTCTCGTTCGGTCATGATGGCTAGTGAAGCCCCGAGAGTCCACCCAGATAGCGATGTGTATGAGATGCACATTAGTCGATACATCTGCAAAAGGAGCAAAATCGACTGACTGTTGCTGTGCTCCTGTGCGCTTCCTTCACACCCCCCTGAAGATGTGAGCGCATCGCTCTCAGATTCTACTCTCCAGAGTGATGTATTTACCATCAGCCACAGACAAGAAAGCAGTCTCCAGTGCTCCAGTAGTTCCCCGATCAAGTTCTGTGTAGCACATATAGTGGTATGTCCTGTTGTGACCGAGCGGCAGCCCTTTGTGACTAACGTGACTACATATAGATCTCGAGTGATCTATCTGTCATAGATCTCTAGATGTGTCAACAAGTTCTCTAGCGTGTCACGAAAGATATGAGTTCTCAAAGTTCGCGCAGCCAGATGTGAATAGCCTAGCCTGTAAATAATCTAACAGTAATTGTAGAAGGTAGTGAACTGCCAAGCGAGTCACACTCTAGAGTCACATGACTGGAAATCTCCTTTGACGACTAGTGGCTCCTTCATAGCTGTACCTCGCAGTGATGATAGTCGAATGCGGTCCATCTGAGACTCACATCTCTCCAGTTTGACTATCCTCCACTCCCCCTGTGTACCATGTCCACAGTCATACACAATACCACGTACGGATGCTCCTGAGATTGTACTACTTGGACTACGTCTCGCAAGAGAATAGAAGTTGTATTGGCCGGTATGGAGATCGCTACCCTCTGTCTCTACGATAGACATGCTCTCGCTGCGTGTGTTAACAGGTGCAGTACTCTCGATGGAAGCTGGATATCAAGACAAGTGTTGTAGGATGCCTAACCGCAATCTCTCTGGTAATTATTAAGACGTCACGTTATTATAACTACTATTCGCTATTCCTAGCATATGTGACACACATGACCTCGCTACGTAAGTGAGCGGTAATGTGATGTTGTGTGAGAAAAGCTAACCAAGACAAGTTGTCCACCGCTCCCTTCATACCACCCAGTGGTCAAGTCACTCGGCGAGTGAAGTGATGTACTCACGCACTCTATCCTCTGTCTCGAGATCATCTGATCACATATAGACAGCTGTGCGCGTGATGAATGAATCAAAGTGAGATGACTCGCCCTCTGCAGCTCTACCGTCTCTGCTGTACGTCTTGTGATCTACTATCCTAGACGCTGCTCGTGGCTCTCACTCTCTACTTCCCTACCTATGTCCGTCTCTCGCCACCGCCAAAAGCGAATTCCACTAAAGATATGCTAACCAGAGAGGCTCCTGTGTTGTCTATGAGTTCTCTCAGAGTCAGTCTGTAAGTGTCTACAAACACTAGACTTGTCCGGATTTCCTATCGTCCTCAAAGCTTCATAGTTCGGTTGTGTCTCGCTCTTCTCCCTAATATCATGTGTGGTGAAGTTTGTCAACAGAGTATTCCACTCTCGCTCCATCTGTCTCTCTCTGGGAGTGTTAACTATGTGAGACGTGCAATACAGGAAGTTCGCATCTACACGGTATAGTAGTAAATGTCGCCAATACCTCGGCCGCTCTACCTGTGCGTACCCCGTGATGAGCTGTGATAGCGCATCTATTGGTGTGTGTTTCAGTTCTGTTGTTCGTATCGCAGTGTTAGACTTCAGGTGGACCAGGGATTATCAACGAGAAAAGTAGCACGCGATATACTCACTCATAGGCCGGTGTGTATTGCTCGTGTACATAGAGCTGTGTGACTTAAGTGTTTCTGCGTCATATAAGACGCTCAGCAGAGACGAGGACTATGAGGAATCGTGAGATCGCGACGTCATCGGTTATGTTAGAATAACTGTAGGTGTGGTACTGAACTATGACCTATTTTGAACTTTTTGTGTAAATGAAACTTTTACGAAGGTCAGAAGGTTAACAGACAGACAACCAAAAGCATTGCGAAACAAGAGTAGGCGCCAGTGTGAGTCACAGAAATACTGGGCGATAAACGTGTTAGGGAGAGTAGGATGGACGGTGTTTGGAGATTGGGTTGCACGAAAGAATGGAGAGACATAAACACGGTAGCGCACGAAGGAACTGAATGGCAGTTTGAGAGAACGGTTCACAGATATTGGAATGGGGGCAAGCGATGGCGCATCAGGGTTGTGATGAAGGGATCGAAGAGAAGCACATCATAATACTACTTAAAGGAGGGTACCCTTTCTTTTTGTCATGTGTTAAGTAATATGGATGTCGACTGATTGACAATTGGCGTGCCACGGTACTTTAACAATTTTGAAAAAAGTTCGTCGCATCACCCAGTCGTGAAGCACTTAAGGTGTCGAATCTTAAGAGAAACCTCCGCTTCAGTGGGTGATTCTAATGACACCGCACATGACATGCGAAGGGGGCGTGCTGCGTGCGAAGTAGAAAGCGAGTAGCAACTGAACCGAGACTCGAAATGTTCAGCTCATCTGTGCATACGCCACTGCAAATTGCATCCCGTCTACCTTACAGATGACTTCGTTGAGACCAGAACTCCTGTGTCCAGTGGTCTGAATGAGTTAGAAGAGCCTGCAAGGAGGTCTTCCGGAATGTTTGAGGTTTGTACTTAAATGAGGCAGACCGTTGTCTGCACAAAAAGTGAGAAGCCTGGTTCCATTATTAGAGCGATTCTCATTCAGTGCGTGATGACCACCAAGGAGAGATTTAAATGGTAACAAGCGCCCAACTCGTGCGTTGAAGTCTCATGCGAGGACAACGACGTCTGAGCACACCAAGTAGCACAATTAGATAAGAAATTGTTATCTTGGAAACCGTAGCACGCGGATGCATTCCAGTGAGAGTTTATAAGTCAGTAGGATTTGATTGTTTATGTTCATAAGCAAGGGTCGAAATCTACTAAGCAACACAAAATGAAGATGGGAAATGAATTTTCCGTGAGATTCATATTGGAAAGGAGAGAATTAATTTTACCACCTACTTAAATGCCACGTGAAGAAGATAAAGTAATATGGTCAGCAAACAACCCAATGCAACGATGGCACCGACACAACAATCACATGTCTGGAACTCACCCAACAAATTCGCTAGTAACAGAAAGAACGGTTGGGTCAGATTCTCAAGAAAACTGCACGCTTCTCCATCGATCATCTTCCAATCTGAATCGTGAAACTTTGTGGGAGACAGTGCTGCATTTAACTGATTCTGAACACGTCTTAGCTCGTTACGTAGAAAATGGTACTGGAATAAATGAAAACAAAAACAACGAAAAGTATTGTGCAGTGAAGAGACAAGCAATACTGATTGTGCGTTTCGAACGAGAATAAAAAGCAGCAAAGTGCTAAAGGGACAGTGAGAGCAGGTGTTCAACAGTAAACAGTATATGGCTGATTTAGCCTGAGAAGCGTGTAATGACTAGAACATCAGGAAAACTCAGGACTTATTCGGTCAGAGTTTAAACAGTCTATCGTCCAGTAACTTTATACGAGATGCGATGACTGCATGAACCACCAAGCGAAAATGTTGGGTCCAAGCGGCTTGGGCGGTAGCAATAGGTAGCAGAGGAAGAAGGCGATAAAAAGTGGATGACAACACTGCGGTTTCCACGGTAAGAAGTAGTTTCCATAAAGTTGTCTCAAAATAATGACGCTGAGGAGAAATCAGCCCTACAGTGTCTGGGAGTGACATTAAAACTAGGGCGCGATAGGCTCAAACCTATGAAAGAAGACTTAGAATTGATTCAATTGAACAACTATGCGTGATGCAATGAAGCCACATTGGGAAAGTTGAGGGAAGAAATAAAAATACAAGATACAAAAATACAATGAGAACGAGAAGAAAAAGTAAAATGGATGGATAGATGGGGTGGAAGTTGAAGAGTTGGGCCGAATGTAAAGCCGCCATCGACATCCTGACAGCGCAGTAGGCGGTACAGTTTCCAAGGTTCCCATCTATGCAAACAGTGCGCACCAATCTCACTAAGCGTCCGTAAAGATTTTGCAAGTCTTTCGATCATGCCACTAACTGAGCACCTCTGAAATTCACTCAAGTACTGTTAAAAAGTACATACAAAATCAATCCATAACAGCATACAACGTACACGAGCGGATCAACGCACGTGGTTTAAGTGTGCCAAACACTAGCGCTCACGAGAGAGCTTATCTGCAAGTGGTAAATAACGAACCCTATTAATGCGCCAACGGTAACCTTACAACCTGTGAGTGATGCTCCACAGGAACCGACAGTCAAACAATATCAGATGACTAATGTCTTCAGTAAGAAGGCCATACCTCTGAAGCACATAGTAACATTTGCCGCGCCGCCAATTCACATACTCATACTCTAACAAGAGCACTGAGAATCTGAAGAATCATTCGTACAGCAATCGTTTTGGCGATGAAACGGAACCAAATAAGTCAAACGTTGGTTTGTTGGCGAATTCATGTAAGTCGAAAAGACGAGGCAAGCGCAAAACTTGTAGCGCAATGAGCCAAGTCACAAAGCAACGCTTGACTGCAGTTAGGAACTGCTTAATATGCGTGCCGGGCAGAAATGCTACTCCGACAGAAGCAGGCGAAGGAGACACACCCGAAATCCGTCGAATTGCACCGCATAACCCATGGGAAGGGATGCAAGTAGTGATAAACTTAAATATTAAACTGCGAGAAACTGAAAGTATAGGAAGTTTTAGAATGAGAAAAGACCAGTTGCTACTTTTGTGAAATGTTACACGAGCACATGCGGACCAACACATAGGGATTGGGACACTAAGATGCTTGACAGTGGGCGAACTCACTATGGTTCCGTCATACACAGGCAGGAAGGCTTTTATAACAGCCCTGCATCTATCGGTCACGAGAAGCGAAAATATTACGTCACTCCAACTGATTCAAGTTGGAGCAGCGAAAATGCATCAACGGTGTAAGCCATGCACGCTAAAACGACAATATAAGTAAACATCTAAAAATGGGGATACTACAAGTTATGCAAAGAAAGCAGAAAAGGCGAATCGCTCTATGCAGAACACTACAGCCAGTACAGAACAGAGATGTTTTGATCGTCCAAACGGGCGAATGGATTGCGATGAGTCACGCAGAAGATTGCAATCATATGGAAGAATGTTATAAACAAGTGGACTGAGTAGTGTTGATCTATAAAGGCTTCCGAGTAAGTAGAGCGCTTCAACAATACAAAATAGACCGACGCAACATGTAATGTAACTAACAAGAAGCTGTCACGAAACCGATACGTAACAGATATTGAAAACGGATAAATGAAGAGAAATAGGCGTCAAATGCTGCGGTTTTATTTTAGAAGTTGATCTATGTCGTCAACTGATGGAGTTACAGAGCTGTTTGGTCGATGTAAAATAATCAGCGTTGCTGCAATCGAGGGGATAGTAAAATTATCTGAATGGCAGAGGAAAGAACGCTTCCGCATGTACAACTCATGAGTTTTGTTTGTGTGCGCAAGATCCAGTTCGGTGTTGTGTCTAGTTAAGAGAGAAACGAAATCCACCAAGCCAAAAGTCGTAATAAGTGTTGCATCACTTGTATTGTAGCCAAAAGTAAAAAGATAAATAGGGCATATGAGTTCTAGCATCAACAAAAAAGAAAGCTGATTAGTAAAGGTCCTGATTTCGGACGACGTGTTAAGAGCGGTACTGGTGACTCCAGCTTGAAAGCCAAGCGGACACTTTGGATGCATTTGATCAAGTGACAACTTATACGGGTTGCTCAACGTGTGAACAGCAACGTTGTCGAACTCCACCAATACTTGCGAACATTTTCACTCCGATTCTAGGATTATCCAGAGCTGTTCGACATAAGGAGACGACAATCGCTGAGTTGAACGGCCTAATTTCCACAGCAGGATACAATTAATTTTTCTGTAAGATACCGCTATCTGCGTTACTATACACTATTTAAGGATAGCGGTGAGGTCCTCTGCAAAGCAATGACCTCCTTGCTCGAACAGGTCTTGAAGTATGAGACCAACACAGCTAACTGGAGTGAATCGATTACAGTGGCAATATACAATAAATGGCTGCACCCACTATGCTAACCAAGGGATGTTAGCTTAACGCCTGTGGTGAGAAAAGCCTCGTAATCACTTGTAGTTTGTTGCCTCACTGCAGAACGTCAATCCCGGATTAGGAAAAAGCAGGCACGTTTCCGCCCAGGATGTGGCTGTATAGATAACATATTCAGTTTGTGGCAGGAGTTAGAGCAGTGCCACATATATCACAGACGGACAATAGCTGTGTTCCTCGATTGCAAGAGTGCGTTCGATTCAGTCGATCGATGCATCCTCTTCGAACTACTTGACCGGAAAGATGTGCCCATGAAAGATTTTACGTGCAGTATACTCGAACAACACAGGCCGCGTCAGGGTCCACGGTGACTTATCCGATATCATTCCGACCACAAGTGGCATTCGCTAGGGTTGTCCGATTTTCCTGTTTTTGTTCAACTTTGTCAAGGAGTGTTCTTCGGAACCTCTCGATGCAGACATGGAGGTGCTGCCTGGTGAAAGGCTAAATGATCTTGATTATGCAGACGTTATCGTCTTGTTGTTTAATGATGTCGGGGCAGGCCAATCAACCCAGAATACCGTCTAGAGTAGTCCCATTATTTGGTATGCACTTCACACCTTCAAAGTACAAACTGTTGCTGCAAAACCACCGGCCACTTTATAACCCCGTTGTGATAATCCTCACACTAGACGCGATTCCGAAACTGACATTTTACTTCTCCACAAAACTTCTAGCCCAACCGAAGGAAAAGCAGAACGTCAATGACCTTGACAAAATAACGTATTAATCGCCGTCAATTAACACTGTACAACTACCGCGGACCTTGGCTGTATTTATAGGTCTCGTACTGACCTTCGACTTCTAGAATTGGAAGGTCAGCTACCAAGGTTAGTGGTTCCCCATATTTTTGCCGAGGTGTCAGGTGGTTTTTAGTCACGTTTAGAAACTAGAACATGCCGGAACGTTCGAAATCGCTGCGATAATCGTTAATAATCGATGAATCGCTAAAATAGTGGATTTCCTAGGCAATTCTTACTTTCTTCCGGACACCTCCCCTCCTGAGATATCGTCCGAGGTATACGATGAAAGCCTAGGATTAATTTGCAGTCTTCGGGACGGTGTTCTCTGCCTGTCGGTCCATCTCCTTGGCAGAAGTGCCCGAGAACTGTGTTCCGATGTCCGTGTTCTGGATTCTTTGCTCGACTGTGTGCAGTCGTCCACTGCTACCTTCGGCAAGTTGAAGCTTTCCACCAATAAATCGAACGGGAGGTCGGTAGGCCTTGCATGTTTTGGTTGGCACAATGTTGGCCGTAACTGGTTTGCATGCCGTGCCCAGATCTGTGCGCCCACCATCAGGTCATACATGACGTTTCCGCGCTTGCTTTTGACCGTCCCTGGCGTCCATTTCGCATGGCCTTCCCGATAGTCACGTACTAGCACTTTCTGTCTAAGCGTAAACGATCGCTTCTTTGCTCCATGCCGCCGGTTAAAATCCTGTTCCATTCTGCGGTTTCTTTCACCAACAGAGGATTCCGAGCGCGGTCGGATGGCGTCGAAAGGCATGCGCAGCTTCCGGTTCATCATAGCCTGTGCTGGAGAAACTCCATCTGGCGCTTGTGGATTCGGTGTTGATCAGTAGAGAAAAAGGAACCGGTCAACCACCTCCTCTATATGTCCCTCCCTTTTTGATATGTGGAGAGCTCGCTTGAACTTATCGACAAACCTTTTTGCCTGGCCATTCGACTGTGGGTGAAACGATGGCGAGCGAATGTGCTGGACGGCGCATTGCTTGCAAAACTCCGTAAACGTTGCCGAAGTGAATTGTGTGCCATTGTCAGTTACAATTGTCTCAGGACAGCCGAATCTGCTAAAGGTTTGGCGCAGTTTTGATACAGTGGCATTGGTGATTGTGCTATCCATGAGAAATACTTCAGGCCACTTGCTGTATGAGTCGACTATAATAAGGAAACTTCTGCCGTTGATCGGTTCTGCAAAGTTAGCACGGATGCGGCACCATGGCTTAGTAGCTTTTGGCAATGAAAAGAGCTCTGCTTTTGTGGCGTTTTCGAGACATTGGCGTACTTTTGGCAGCGTTTAACTATTTCTTCTAGCTGTTTGTCCATGAAGGGCCAGTATACATAACTGCGGGCAAGCGCCTTCATCCGGTTGATTCCAAGATGCCCGGCGTGGAACTGCGAAATAATGC